AAAAAAAAAAAAAAGAGTAAGGAAAACAGGAGAGAAAACACAAGCAGACGAGATAGGAGGAAAGACAGCCCAGAAGGCTCTGAACCAAATCACTCATGGCAGCAAAGAGGGACTGGGATGGGGAGGGCTCCCATCAACCTGGCCTCTGTCTCATCTGAAAAACCAGATTCTCACCTGCAGTTCTTGCTGGAGTGGGAGAACACACCATATTTAATCCTTCTAAATTGGACATGAATTATTCAAAGAAATTAAAGAAGAAGAAAATCTCTCTCCTAGAAAATGTGATTCTTATGGACTCCAATATCTGATGATTAACAAGGGCAAAATGAGGCATTTGGCACAGGCAAAGGCAGTAAATGAGTCAATGAAATGTTTCCATTGAAACGAATCATTTTGACTAGAGCCCCAGGACACCAAGAGCCAGGCACTTCTCTGATTCCCACCTACCTACCAGCCAGAGATAGTTCCCAAATGAAATTTCTAGTGAAGATCTTCTCCCAGGAGCAAACAGTGTACAAGTGAGCAGAGGCAGCAGTGTACATGAGATTAGAGAGTTATAGATAATGTACTGATAGTCCCCAAAATGTTCCTACACTCAACGCTTTCATGGTTGGAAACACCCCCAGCAGACTCCATAAGAGTTGAGGCCGTTGATTGAAGATACCCTGTGAAAAAGCATCCAACTAGGACACCAGAGCACAGGGATGCTCAGTGCTGTTAGAGAAGCTTCTGGACTGGTGGTTTTCAGAAACTCTGCATCAGAATATAGCACTTATTCTACATAACTTTCACAATATATATAGCACTTACCGAGTGTTTGTCACATGATTTGATGTATTACCTAATTCCATCCTCATTTAACATATAAGGCAACTGTTCATGTTAGCACCATCTCACAGATGAAGAAACTGAGGTACCGAGGAGTAAGATAACTTGCCCTAGATTGTATAATTACATTGTAGATGCCGGAGGGGGGACTTGAACCCAGGGAACCAGGTGTTAGAGACAGCTATGCAATAAATCCTCTAATCATGTAGGATAGTATGAAAGAATCTCTAGAGGTGGAACAAGGGAACCTGCATGTTAATAAACTAGTCAAGTGGTTCTTGTGCACTCAAAGTTAGGACTTCCAAATACTCAGTGCCTTGAATAAACTACTTGCTTCTTTGGAGCTAATTCTGTTATCTATTTCATCTCCCTATAAACACTTTGCACTCCTTGGAGTAATGTTTTTAATTCTTAACACCTTTCCTCCTGGCCCCCCAGCACAGTTCTAGACATGGACCTCAGTCAATACTTACTAGTCCAAGGAGAAAGCTCTGGACCCACCGTCTGGAAGCTGAAGCTATGTTCCAGTTCTGTTATTAAATTAGCTTGGGCAAGTTCCTGCAGCATTCCCATCTGTTCAATGGAGAAAATGTCAAAAAGGGATTTTAGAATAATTGGGGTTTTTTAAATAACTACCTTTTATATATTGGGAATTATCCTGTGATGAGTACTATGCTAGGATCCTGACTTTTACGAATATTCAAGTATTATTATTCTGGTACTACAGACAAAGAAGTAGTATTTCAGAGATCAGGTTGCTTACCTAAATCTGCACAGCAAGTAATGATGAGAAGAGCCTTTGTGCCCCATCCCTTGGATTCTACATCACATGCTTTCTCCCTGACGCCACCGAACGTGATCAGCCTTTTCTCTATCGCATAGATATGGTGCGAGTCAAATGAGATTGCAGATACATCAGTCAGAACGGGCTGGGCTACGCTGTGATTAAAAACAAGCTCCAAATCTCAGTGGCTTTAAACAGCAAACGTTTATTTCTTGCTCTTGCCACATATCCATCAGGAGCCAGCAGGGCGTTTCCATGCAGCATAATCACTCCGAGACCTAGATGGAGCAGCCTCCATCCTGAGCATGGCTCAAGAGAAGCAGGGCCAAACCATGCAGGGACATTTCAAGCTTCTGCTCAATTAAATGAGCTGTATATCACAGCTATGCAGATTCCATTGACCAAAGCAAGTCTTGGCCAAGCCCAACGTCCATGTGGAAGGAAAGCAGGCCAAGGGCAAGGAGGACACAAAAATTGTGAACAGATAATGAATCTACATAGAAGACCAAGGATGTAAAAACGTACTTTGGAAGGTGTTGAAGTGAAACAGCATGAAGTATGCTTTTTCCTATGGAGGCATGTTGATGGGCCCCATGGCTCCAAGCTGAGCCTCCACATGCTACAAATCCATGGTATCTCCTCTGTTATCAGGAATCTAATTATTTCTCTGCTTTCTGCTCAATTATTAAAGACAAGGCAGTGAAGAGCCATGGAAGAGAGGGAAAGTCTGTTTTGTAGCAATGACAAACCATATTTCATATGCATAAAGGGGAGAAATAAAAGAGCATTGCTTTTACTCTTATAATTGCAATTTCCTGCTCGTTTCCTTTTCAAATTAGTGAATGTAATTGTTTGGTAATAAAATATCAGCATAATATATTAGAGGCAGAGAACAGACGGGCTTAAGGGACAGTTGCCAAGAACAGGAGAGAGAGAAAAAAATTGAACAGAATCAGAGCCTACAAACCTTGTGGGTCTTTTGCAAAATGTGTCCTTGGCTATTTCACTGAACTGTCCCTGCTCTTCCTTCTTGACTGTTACTGAAACGAATGGTCCAGGCAAATCAGCATTGACCTAACTTAAAACATATGACATTATCAAGTTCAGACCAGAAAAAGAGAGTCTGAGAGAAAGCAAATAAGAGGAAGAATGGAGTTGAGCACATGGTTTTAATGCTAGCTCTACCATCCACTGGCTGTGCCACCTTGAGAAATTATTAACCTCTCTGTGTTTCCATTCATTCACTTGCAAAGTAGGCATTAAAAATCACTCTATCTCAAGAGGTGATGCTTTATAAGGAGTAGCTATTCATATTATTAGAAAATTAAAGTCATGGGCCCAACTTTGGCAAGATGTCAAAACTAGGGAGGATTTCCTTTGTTGCTTTCAATTCTACATTAGCTTCTCTTTTGCCCATCCTGCAGTCCTTCCCTCTGAACTGTCTCATTTTTCCAAGACCTAGACCATGTCCTAGAGTTGCCCTCAGGTCCATCTTATCTAATATTTGCCATGGCATTGATAACAACCAAAGTTCTACCTGATAAAGAAATTCTGAAAGAGGTTGCCTAGGAGGAATGAAAGACTTCTGGATTCGGGACGTACCACCGCCTTGCACAGCATAGTGTAAAAGCAGCCACCGTCTTTAATGCCTGCCCTAATTGACTGCTTGGACCCCATAGGCGAGCCCTAAATTGGGAGCCATGGGAGGTTAGAAATTAAACAGTAGATTCAGTCTGTAACCTCAGAACCCTTGCAGACTGGTGCAGGGAGGTGAAGAAGCCAAGTCTGGTGTGGAAGTTCTGTGCTCAGTCACTCTAGGGCATGGACACTTTGAGAAGTTACCTGGCAAGTAAGTTCAGGGATGTGGGACTCCCCTACTCCAAGAGAGACCCTTTAGCTTCTCATGGGTCCCCCACACTTTGACCATAGCATCTTATTTCCTTATATAAACAACAGTGAATGTAGAAGCCCCATAGTGAAAAATATCTTTTGTCTGGAATTTCACTGGCTGATTCCAAGAGGAAGGAGACCATGAGCATCCTGTGAGGGAGGTCACAGTGAGAACAACAGCATGAAGAATGCTGAGGAAGAACTTCCTGGTTCAGCCCTGAAAATTCCACCAGGGAGATGAACCAACCAGTAAAGAGGTCAGTGGGAAGCTATCCTAGCAGAACTAGAGTTGGAGAAAATGATCCTCAGTTCCAGCTAGAGAACTTAGAATATATGTAAATTGTAAGCTTCTAACAATAAAGAACTGAAATGGTGGGAAGCTGGGAATTCTCTGTCATTCCATCCCCAAAGCCACCTGATGTAATATACAACCCAGTGGCACCTTGGTGGGAGTTTTAAAATAGTCATTTGCCTCCAGAAGGAAAAGGGCTGTGAAATAAATTCCCAAGGGAGACAGCAAGCTAGTAACTGCAAAAGGGATGGGACAATGGAGAGAAGTGCCCAGAGGACAAAGGTTATTGAGGAACAGTTCCATCTTGTGGGGACCAGCATGGAGGCTTGGCCTTTTCTTGGCCAACATCTCTACCTAGGCCACATCCAGATCAGGATCAAAGCCAGAAGTACCTTGGATCAGATAACCCCAGAAGCTTCCTCACACCAATCATCACACAAATCCCTAGGGAAGACCTACCACATGTCAGGAAATGCAGTAGTATCAAAGTTTCAGCATAGCATAAAAATTCTGAAACTACTGTACTCCTTGGGTGAATGGAATGGTGACTGAGAGGCCACCAAAGTCTTGGCCGGTATTGACTACAATCAATACTTGTGTGTGTGGTGAGCACAGGGTCATGACTGAGCATAGCCAGGATGTCAGCACTTGGCAAGGTGGCAAAGTTGGGGATGAGACATGAATGATTCCCATCTTTATGCAAAGTTTCCCTGGAGTACGGCAGTGGACAGGCATCTCTTCTTTTGCTGAACTGACCAGGCGCTCTGTCCTCACCCTCAGGGTTGCTATTACTTTGTTCCCAATAATGAGAATAACCATTAGCTTTGTTCCTCTCAACTCTTGAGCTACCTGAGAGACTTTACTGTTTCTCTCAATGCCTAGAATAGAGATATGAATAGCATGGTTCATGGTATATATATTTATGTATTTATACATTGAATGAACAGATGATCAATACTATGTATAGATGTTTCTGAAAAGTGAATACTGTCAATGCATATTCACCTTTTCTCTAAGTACTAAATGTCTCAGGAAGCTTCTGGAATTGGCCAAAAACACATGTAGGCTAATAGGACAAGGCTCACATACATATGGTGCTTAATATAAGTGCTGTAGTTCATCATCTTCAGCTCCTCCCTGCAGGAGCTGCCTGGACCCTAAATGCATTTTCTCAGCCAGTCATTCCCAGCCAGGAGAATCCTTGAAGCTTGGCTCATCCTCTCAGAGTGTTTGAATCTTGAATTTCAAGTAGGAAAGCAGTAGACTGCAACAAGATGAAAACTGAACGCTTTGAATACACACATTCATGACTCCATCCCATTTTCCCCTTTCTGCCACCCATCCAAATCCTAACCTGAACCACATTATCAATTGTCAATAATTGAGACTTGGGGATTCTTGATTTATAACAACTCTCTTATTGCTTTTTTTATCTTTTTCTCGTTTTTCCCCCTCCTATAGACTGTAAGGCCATTGAAAGAGGGAAACATGTACAAGACAGAATGGGACACTTTCTGCTTCATTTTCGACCCTACGTTTTTGTGCAGAATCTACAGAGAGAAGAAACTGAAGATAATTTCACAACTTTTGGACCCCTCAGCTCATCCAGGCATTTGAGAAAGAAGAAAAGTAGTCTTCTTTCCTGAGGCCTTCTGAGGGTTTTTCAAATAAGATCACTTGGAGAAATTTGAAATGCATTTCTGCATTTGAAGATGCATTAGAAAACCATCTAGCTCACACCTGAAACAGTAAGGGGCCTAGAACCAGGAGTCTGACACCCACCTGGAGATCATAGAGTGAGGGTAGAGTTAATCAACTTCTCCAGTGGAGAGGGTCACTTCACCAAGATTGGTCTTCATTCCTGAATAGAGTAAGAGATGCATGAATGTTTCTCCCGGACTAATGTGGTCAGATGTGGGTCAGATCCGACCTGGGGCCTTCTTGAGTTCTAGCCAGTGGAGCTGCCTAGAAAAAGTTGGGCCCTTAGCATAAGGAGGCTAGAGTTGTACCACTGAAAACCCATGACAAAGGAAGATGTCACAAGTGTCCAACTGGATTAGAGAAAAATCATGCATGTCACGAAAACCTCGAGTCCTAATACTCAGCAGAAAACCTCTTAAGATCCCACAGAAGTACTCTCAAAAAACATGACTAAACTCTATCTATTGGTCAATAGCATTGACCATGATTCCCCTTGTTAAGCAGATACTATCTAAGTCACTTACTTCTCCTCCTTCCCATGCCTCCAACATTGTGAAAGCCAACGGTTAGAGACCAAGTAGGGGAGAAGACGACCAAGAAACAAGTGTCAGCTTGAATAACTGAAGATCGAGCAAAGAAGAACACAGGAGAACTTCAAAAGGCTCATGGAAAAATGGAATTAAAGTATAAATTTGTCTCAATACAAGAAAAAATTTAAATCATCCATAAGTATTTCATAATACACCTTTTCCATGAAATTTTTGAACATCTGGTATATAATGTGAAGTCCAGCTCAGAGTTTTAACCATCACGTGAGACCATTAACTATAACCTGTGTTTGTGGACCACATGGACCTACATTCGTTTAGGGCCTAAACTAGAGAAGTCACAAGATCTGCCAAGTTCCTCATAGAGCATAGGAGAAATTACTCCCACTAGGTAATTTTAAAACATCAGAAAAAAAAAATAAGATTGCATTTTGATGACATCTAAATCAGTCAATGTCCAAAGTGCCATGGAACAATGTCACTTCTAATTTCAGAGGGCACATGCACTTGTCAGAGAGACAAAAAGAAACAGAAGGAGAAAATATCCTCCTAAAGGATGTGATCACACCATAGTCCTTCATTATTTCTCTAGTCCTGTTGGGGTTTGGGGCTCACAAGCACCCAGCGTGTTCTCCAAGCTCGCAGGACAGGACTTTGCTCTATGTGGTTGGCCCTGTAAGTCTACCTTCCTTAACCACCAGGTCATGGCACTGGCCCAAAAGTCTAACTTAAAAAAAAAAATCTTAAAAGAGAAATTATGTACTACAGAAAGAATTTGATAGTGAAAACTTAGGAAATGGTCAGCAAAGTCCACCCAACCCTCCAATCTACCCAAGACCCACCACCCCCAACAGAGTCATGAAAAGGGCCATGTATAGCAAATTAGAGAATTTTGAGATCATTAAGGGGATGAATAAACAAGCTAGGATGTGGATTGACTAGGAAAGCCAACAAGAGAAAAACAAACTCTTCTAGCTTAAATATATAAATGATAAAATCTAGCTATGAACCTTAATTCAACCAAATCCTTTTGGTACCAACAAATTGTTAAAGGCTTCATTAGGCTGTGTAAGCCTTTAATGATACAGTATCTCTAGCAGGTCCTCCTTAGAAGGTTCTCTTAGTGCAAGTTCGCACTTAATTTCAGGGATATTCTAAAATGTAGGAGATCAGGAAAGATGATATCAAACAAATAGGAAATATTAAGTATCCAGAAGAAGAATGTGCTATTCAGGTGTCAGTACCTTGGTGCCTCACCACTCGAATCACCCCAAACTGGTTCTGTCTTTGCAGTAGTTTATTCTCCAAAGTTCAGGCTATTTGGAACAGAAAATAATGTCCATGGTTCATGGTCGGAAACCTGTTTTTGTCCATCAACGTCTGAAATGATGGGAAAATGAATTACAATTAGAAATGTGTTGTTGAAAACAGGAGTTTAGACCCTGGAAGCTGCCCCCAGCTCACCAAGACTGCTAATGTGAGTACCCACACAACTGCCACCTCTCACTAGACCCTTTCTATAGATGTTGCCCCTTCATAGTCCACAAAGGTCTCTCTAGAGTCTCTGTTCTCAGTGTCCCCAGACAGTCCTCTCAGTGCTCCTGTCTGTATTTTCATTCTACATCCAAATATCATAGCTTGCTTCCGGATAAAAGGCTTATGTAAAGAATATTTTCTGATAAACTATTCTGCCTCATCTTGTGACAGGGGATGGAAATCTCCCTGAAAGACCAAACAAAGCACCAACCAAGAAGGAAGCTGTCAAAATTGTCTGTCAATTCATCTGCTTCAACACCAATGACAACAACAAAGCAGATCATTCTTTAAAAATTATTTAATTTTTCTTTTTACTATTTTTATAATCACAGTTAATAGACTAGTCTCTCCCTACTCTTCACATTAGTTTCAAAGGATAACCTCTGGTAATTCTTTCTCAGATACCAAATCCCCTTCACCACCCTTCTCGAGCTTTGCTTTACACACAAGAAGACATGAATCACACACACGGGAGATTTGTGCAATAAGTTACAATAACTCAATTTTCTGATATTCACATGAGAGAAAAAAAGCAAAGAAGAAAGGGAAAATGAACAAAAGAAAAAAATGAAAGTCCAGTTAACCAGGCATCTTTGAAAGAGAAATGCAATCAGCTGGCTCAGAAGTTGAAGGAATCAGGGGCTCTGAAGCTAAATGCAAATAAATCCACAGTAGAAAAATTGTGTGGGAGGCAATGGAGGAGTGGAGAGAGGAAGGAAGACGAAAATTTCTTTGGTACTTACCTGTATGGCATCGACTTCAAGTCGTCTTTAAGTGGAACTGACGGTATTACAAACACAATAAGCACTTCTAGACAAACTGGAATAGCAATCACTTCAGGAGCCGAGAAGCATTCACAATTTTGCTGTTGTCAACGCTTTCAGTGGCTTTAATTTTCAATGGTAAGCACAACTTCTATATAGTGTTGTCAAAACCGCAATGAAGTTATGTCATTGAATATTAAAGGCCCAGCCCGCGGAATGCCAACACACAGATTTGAATTTCATGCTCGCTCCTAAACATCAAGACAAATATGTCTAATTTCATAAAAACCTGGCCAGCCCCAGGGAGGCTGACAATCATATCTATTGTTACCCAAGTTTGCTGGAATAAAACCTGGCCCTGTTCAGTGTGTGAGGCCAGAAAGGAGGAGGAGGAAGAGAAAGAGAACCAAGGAATAGCAAGATAGTCCATGACAACTGGATGACTCTGTATGGCACTTGTCAAATATGCAGATTCCTGGGACATTCAGTGCTGGCAAGCCTCACCCAGCAGGTCTGGATCATGTTTAATGAGCATCTTTAGAAAAATTGACTGATTGGGTTATGGGATAGATACTGGGAATCCTGCAGGAGGCAGGAAGTATGACTAGAAGGAAGAGGGAAGCAGATCCTTAAGGGCTGATCACATGCCCAGGTATTTGGACTCCATCCTGGGAGCAGCAGCATTCCCAGGGGGATTTTAAGCATGGGTGAAGTCATACTTGCTTCTTAGAAAAATTACTTGAGCTTCAGAGTAAAAATTGGATCAAGGCAGGTAAGGTTGGAAGCAAATAGAACAATTGAGAATCAAACTCCACATGAGTCTGAACTGGGGTGGCTCTAGAGAGAATAGAAATTGGGCAGCTCTGAGAGGTAATCAAAAGATCAGGATTCTTGGCACTAGATAAGATGAGGGGCTGAAAAAGGGCCTGGGATGACACTTAGGCTTCTTGCTTGGACAATTTAGGAGATAATAATTGGTGTTTGCTAAGTGTTAACTGAGTGCTAAGCTCTATTCTTATGCAATGTGGAGCACAGCAAGGCATGGTAAGTTGCCCAAGTAGAAAGTAGATTCAAGATTCAAACACACAATCCTAAGTCAACAGCATGCTTCTAACCCTACCCTATGCTGATCACAGAGTTTGCTCCATAATAATAAAGATACTGAGTCTGAGTTTAGGAGTTGAGTTAGGAAAAGACAAGAGGAAGAACTGAGAAGGAAAGAGGTACAGGGAGTCATCAGATAGAAAAGAAGAAGCCACAGAGAGAGTGGAGCACTGGTGATCACAAGAGGAGAGATGCTTAGCAAGATCCTGCAGGAAAAGGGATGCCCAGGCCATATGCCAACAGCAAGATAACTGAAAGAAGTCCTTTGAGTTCTACTTTTTGGAGGTCATTGGAGAACTCACTTGTATTTCCATTAATTGATATGGAGAGGTTGCAGAAGCTTCGGTGAATGTAAAGTGATAAAAGGGGTGACACCCTCAGTGTGAAAGGTGATGTAAGGGAAGAGAGGTGAACCCTTTGTATATCGAGGGTGTAGAGACAGCAAGGTATTGAAGAAACCAGTTATGAAGGGATGGAGAAGGTGGTAAGGTTATCTGATGGATCTGGGGGCATGAGTGAGTCTGAAGTGGGATTGAGAAGCAAATATGTAAAAACGAACAGTGAAGGTCTGGAATGGCAATCTTTAGGAAAGAAAAAATATCATAAATATTCAATATGTTTGCCAGGAAACATTGAGGCCCTGGGGAAGTTAGGGCTCCACTATTAGCATGGGTCTGGGGCTTTCTTTTTTTCTGGAGAGGTTTTTGCTATAGGGCGCGTGTGCTCGCCAGACAGAGAGAGAGAGAGAGAGAGAGACAGAAAGTGAGAAATCACCCCCCGGGGGGATGGTCACGCCGCAATCCTTTCTCCTCCATTCTCCTCTCGGGATCTTGGGCACGCACGCACATGAGCCCGGCGTGAAAGAAAAAATATCATAAATATTCAATATGTTTGCCAGGAAACATTGAGGCCCTGGGGAAGTTAGGGCTCCACTATTAGCATGGGTCTGGGGCTTTCTTTTTTTCTGGAGAGGTTTTTGCTATAGGGCGCGTGTGCTCGCCAGACAGAGAGAGAGAGAGAGAGAGACAGAAAGTGAGAAATCACCCCCCGGGGGGATGGTCACGCCGCAATCCTTTCTCCTCCATTCTCCTCTCGGGATCTTGGGCACGCACGCACACGAGCCCGGCGTGAGTTTAAGCCACCGGGTCCAGGACTCGAACCGCGGTCGACTATGTGGGAGTCCAGCAACATAGCCATTACGCTAACTGCTGGTCCCAGTCTGGGGCTTTCTTCAGGTATGCCTATTTGAGTATGGGTCTATGACTGGCTTCCACAGCTGAAGATTTGAAGATGGTTTTAAGCCAATATATGGTTAGGGTGCACCAATCTAAGTAAATGAATGGTAAGATGAGTGGCCAGCAAGATGAATGACTAGTTCTTGAGCATGGCCACAAACATCCTCATCTAACCAACATAAAGCAAGGAGTAAGACAAAGCAGAAGCTTATGCCCTTATTCTGATGGGATCTGAGAAGAAGCTTATTAATAGTTGAAAAGAACCTTTTAGGTACAGGTAGCTCACCCTAGGGGAGCTAAACTCTGCCACTATACCCTAGATCATAGCTCAGGGAAACCCAGCCCACTGGAGGTCAGGGCCTTAGGGAGAGTCATACATGTGGAAAACCTCTTCCTGAGTTGCTTAAGGTGGAGAGTCATTACTTCTAAACAGAGTACTACTTGTACTTGTTGCTTCGTTTCTCTTCTCCTCTTTCTTTGCTTATTTATTTACTTCAAGGTGTGGTTCAAACTTGCTTCCTTAATGATATCTCTAATGTCCCACATAGCTCTTCCTGTGTATGACCTTCTATTACACACTTGAACTGCACCCATTTGAGCCTGGGTCATATCCATTAGCCTATACAGTTCTCTATTTCATGAGTCAGTGTGGCTTATCTGAAAGAACAATCACGGTCTGGAGCTAGAAAGTTTGGGGCTTATGTCTCAGCTCTAGCACTGTCTGGCAAGGTATTTGGTACCTTGGGCATCAAGTTTCTTGTCTGTTAAATAGAGGTCCTAGCATTGGCATAGCAAAGCTATGATGAGAAGTCAAGATAATTTATAATCTACTATATTAGGTGTAAAACACATACTGGGAGTTCAATAAACATGAATATCATTGTTTCATAATCATCTGTAATATTGTTTTGATAGTATGTAATTGCTTATATCCCCAGCCAATCCCTGGAACTCCCCTAAGGCAATACGCACACATCTCATTTCAGCACCTCCAATTGCTTCAAGCCCAATCAGCTGTCCATTCCTTTCTGAGAATAGTAACCCTTCGTCTCATAAAGATATCACAAGTACTTTCTCATTGGCTCTGTCTCTGCTGATTGTACTGGTTATATCCAGTTGGCGCCTCCATCCCAATCTTCTCCTTCCTTTAACTGTCCTCTCTGCCTTCCTTGATATACCTTCCTTGGTAGATGATCTTTACTACCATCCCTGAGAGTGACCATGATTAAAGTCCCCTAAACAAACTACAACAGAAAATTGTGATATTATAAATCCTGAGTTATGAGAAACCTGGGATATGAAAAACTCTGAGAAAGCCCCCCTAGTAACCATGGTCAGATTGGATCCCCATTTTCAGAGACAACATTGGCGAGAGCCAAGCAAAAAAGGGAAGGCACCCAAGCTAGAGTTTTGAGAAGATTTGATGATGGTGATACTGGCAAATGAGGTATGTCTGCTTCTACTCATAGCCAATGAAATGAGAGGTAGAGGCTGGAGGATGGAGTTTATTTCTGCCACTGGTTACAGAGAGACAAGCAGTAAGTACCATCAAACTGTGTTAAAAACCTCCACATATGCTCGCTATTTGTAGATACAAGATAGAAGCCTGTGCAAATTATTCCTCACTACAATCAATCAAAATCAATTGCTTTCCTTTGAGCAATTATCTTGATATCTATTTTTCCTCAAATTTTCATTCCTGGTTTCTCATCTGACCATTTCCCAG